GCTCAGGATAATGTTTAACTGATTTTCCTTCTGCAAGGTCCTGAGGTTCTCCTCCCAAGGAATTTACAACCTTGCTAAAAACCAACAGATAAATACTAGAAAGATCAAAACAGGGCTGGATGGTACAAGCCAGTCACTCCTGGAGCAGGAGGCAGCCAGTTGAGTTTGGGGGGAAGACGTAGGAAGATTTCCCGGGGGAGGACCCATCTGAGCTCAAACCCCCCAGCAGAGGGTGGTGAAGGCATTTGGGGCTGAGGAAACTGCCTGAGCAGAGCTTCAACAGGGCAGTGACCCTGCAGGACCACAACCCCTGGGGCGACGCCGGGAGAGGCACCATTAGAACGTGGGCAGGGCTTTTCACAAACCCTTAAGCCCTAGAATCTAGCCGTCAAGGAAACATTAAATGTATTGCAAGAGTGGAGTAACCCGGGGCGCCTGGGGGGTTCAGTCGGTTGGGCGTCTGCCTTCGGCTCAGGTCATGATCCCAGGGTCCTGGGATCGAGCCCCGCATCGGGCTCCCTGCTCGGTGGGAAGCCTGCTTCTCCCTCTCCCACTCCCCCTGCTTGTGTTCCCTCTCTCGCTGTCTCTTTCTCTGTGAAATAAAAAAAAAAAAAAAAAAAAAAAAAAGAGTGGAGAAACCCATGAGCCACTCTGTCCTGTGGCAGCAGCATGACGCCTCCTCTTCAAATTCGTGATCAATCATCTTGAGAGAAAATGCTCCTCACTCCCGAGAACAGACGACCCCATTACCAGGCCATCGGCCTTCTCTGCCTGTGGTGACTTCTTACACAATGCCTCACCCCACTGCAGCCCTCTGACTCCAGCCTGGGGAGGGCAGAGGGGAAAGAGGGAAGGAGCGAGGTTTTTGAAGACTCCAACTGAAGGCATCCACCCCGGAGAGGACCCTCATGGTTAGAGAGAGTTCGAAATACCCCCTTTATGCTCACAGGCTTCTCCGGCTACGGCCCATTTCTCTATTCCCTTCAGGGTAAAAATTCTCTCAAGAGTTGTCTCTATCCCCTCACCTTTAGTTTAAAAAAAAAATCTTTTTTTATCGAAGTGGAGTTGACAAGTGTTACATTTGTGTCAGGTGTACAACATCGTGATTTGACGAGTCTGTACGTTCCGCTGTGTGCCCCGCGAGTGTAGCTACCCTCTGTCCCCCAACACCGCCATGACCACACCACTGACTATATTCTCTGTGCTGTGCCTTTCGTCCCTGTGACTTACATCCCCTCTTAAATTTCTTTCTGTCTCCATCTCTCCCTTGAAACTGTTCCCATCAAGCCCCCAATAACAACTTCTCTGTCACCAGATCCGGTGAGCTCTTTCCTGTCACCACTCTGTCTGGTCTCAGTAGATGCCTCCTGTCTTCTTGAAACACTCTCCGCTCTCAGCTTCGGGGACCCTCTTGGTTTCCCTCCTACCTCACGGGCCATCCCTTTTCAGTCTGTCTTGCCGGCTACTTTTCCTCCAATTCAAAGTGTGACTCAGCCGGAGCATTCGGGAATCTGTGAGCAATGCAGATCCTTGGACCCTCCCCTCCCAGATCTACTGATTAGAATCTCTGGGGTGGGGCCCAGGTGACTCACACGAGCCACTGAGAACTGGGGATGGAAAACCGCAGGCATTGCTGGCTGTTCAGAGCAGATTCCTCTTCTTCTCTCTGGCTACACTTTCTCCCTTGATGTTATCGTCCAAGCCCATGACTTTGAACATGATCTACAGACTGATAACTTCTAAATGCACATCTTTGGCACCAACCCACCCAAGCTCCAGAATCCCCAGGTGTACCCATCTGGGGGCAACACGGGCATCTCAAATTCAATGTGTCCAAGATGGAAGGAACTTCTCTAAAACCTGTTGCCTCTACAACTGGGTCTTCCGCCATTTAGTTACCATTTTAGATTGAAGTACCTCCTCTGTTACCACACTAGATCAAGCACCATTTTCTCTCTCCTGGACGGACCACTGCAAAAGCCACCTACCAGGCCCTGTTCCCACTTTTGCCCCACTGGGCCCCACGCCACAACCAGAGTGGTCTTTTCGGAACTTAAATCAGGTCATGTCATTTCCCTGCTCCATCTCCAAGGGCTTCTACCACATTTGATTAAAATCTAAACACCTTGGGCGCCTGGGTGGCTCAAATGGTTGGGCGTCTGCCTTTGGCTCAGGTCATGATCCCAGGGTCCTGGAATTGAGTTCCGCATCGGGCTCCCTGCTCCTTGGGAGCCTGCTTCTCCCTCTGCCTTTCTTTCTCTCTCTCTCTCTGTCTCTCATGAATAAATAAATAAAATCTTTAAAAATAAATAAATAAAATAAAATCGAAACACCTTGTCATGGGCTCTTTGGCCCTGCATGACTTGATCACTTTCTATGTAGCTTCCTGTATTCCCTTTGGTGTCTGAGGTCAAAGACTACAACTATATAATTCACACTAGGCGCTCTATAAATTATTTGTTGAATGAAATAATTCTCCTTTTGCATATAAGTAAACTGAGACTTTGACTTCCTTAACTTCTCCGTATTTGCTGAGAAGGATCCACATGACACTGACAAGTACCTTCTAGCCAGGACAGGAGATGGATGCAAAAGGAGATTCTCAAAGCACTTGACGGTGCTGTGAACTTCAGCACAACAGGTGCCCAAGAGTCCACAAGATGAAGCCCCAGAGGACAAACCTTAAACTCCACTCCACATCAGTCCAGAGAATGGCCTTCCCTGTCCATAAGGGGGTATGATAGTTGTCGTGATCGGGGAGGCAATCGTGAATGAGGTTGGGATAAGGAATGATGTAGGGCCATTTGCAAAATCTTCCTCCTGCGGGCTGCCTACCCCTGGTGCTCTTCATGAGGTCAACGAAAGCCTCTAAGAATCTATAGGCCAGACCACCAACCCCATTATGGCAGTTTTTAAGAATGGCCACAAATTCTTGGGTACTCCTCCCATTGAGAAGTGGGGTCTATGTCCGCTACCCTTGAATCTGGATGGACATATGACCACTCTGGTCAATAGCATACAGTGGAATTGATGTTATGTGATTTCCAAGACTAGATGGGAAGTGTCTAGGCAGCTCCCATGTTGTTGCTGGAACTCTCACGTCCTAAGAAGCCATGTGAGAAGTCCTTCAAACCTGAGACCAGAGGCTGGGGGGAAGCCAGGCCATGTAGAGAAGCCGTGCATAGGCCTTCCGATAGGCACATGTGATCTTCAAGTCTTCTCTGCTCAGGTGCCAGGCATGCACGTGAAAGAGCCTTCCAGGGATTCCAAACTCCCTCAGACTTCGAGTCTTCCCAACTGCGGCCCCAGACATCATGGGAGAAGCCAAGTTCCCGCTGTGCCTGTCCACATCCCTGGCCTACCTACTCATCCATGGGCATAAGAAAATGGTGGTGGTTATAAACCACTAAGTTTTATGGGTAGTTGCTACATAGAAACAATAGCCAGATTAGGACATAAGGCAATCGCTTTGGGCTCCCTAATCCCTCCAAGAAATCGTCTGCCTTTGAGCCTCTTCCCGCTGGGAGAGCGTTTGGCCAGTAGACACAGGATCCTTTTGAGGAAAAAAAAAAATAAGAATAATAATAATAAAAGCTGAGTTTTATGGTCTTCTAACCAAGCTCTATAGAGTCCCTCCTGCCAGGGGGAGGCCAACCCTTTCCTCCTTCTGATCCTGTCACCTACTCTTGGCTCCAGCCCAGCTTAAGACTCAGAGAGATGATTCACTGCCCCACCCCCTCCCCCCCCGCCCAGTTCACCTGGTAATAAGCCATCTCCAAGGAAAGAACTTAAGGCTCTAAAAGTACTGTCAACCTAATCATTATGCAAGACTGAACGTATAGAAAACAGCCACAGTATTGCTGCCTAACGTTCCTTTCTAACTGGTCCAAATCCATTTGGTCTGTTACTGAATCACCCCATGGGATAGCCATCCATGCTTTCCAGACCTATCATTTCCCCTGACCAGGCTGACCTTTCAAGTGCCCACCCACATTCGCATAAATATCACCCTGCATCGGTTTCACATCGCTATTCTCTGGCTTCTCCCCTTCCTGCCCACTGGTCCCCTCCCCCTTGAGTGATCCACCCTGGGATATAGGTATGTAATCCAAATCCCATTTCCAATGGGTGTCTGGATATTTTTAAACCTCTCTTCTTACAAGCTTAGCGGAGCCTCTTGCCCATAACAAGGGGACTAGATGTCCCATTTTTCCCAGGACAGTCTTGGTTTATGCCCACTTAATTCATACCAGTGCCCCTTTCACTTTAAAAGTGATCCAATTTGGGTAATAATTTAGACGATTCCCCAAACCCTAATTCCCATCCTTCTATCCCTTCATCCCTGGCCACCCTTTACGTGAAACAAACCTCTACCTCATTTCTTAGCAGGAATAATGAGCCAAAACACACCATTCTGTTTTAGACAAGGTACCTCAGGTAATGTGAGTGGACTTGTTAAATGGAGTACATTTTCCTCATTTGGGAGGTCTACTCTAAATCATCTCTCCTGCATAAAATAAGGAGCAGAAACTGAGTCAATGAAAGAAAGGGTGGTGGCCAATGTCCTTCCTAGGCCTCCCATTTTAAGAATTTATGTGAAAATTCATTAATACTGGGCTCAATCCAAGGTAGCAAAAATCTTTTCCTCTTTAGAAATGTCTGGCTACCAGAGTTCCAAAAATTGCCTTCTCATTCCCTAACGTCTCCCGTTCTCCATTACGTAACGGGGGAGTTGAGGCTTCGGCCAAATTTCTTTTTAAAGATGATTTTTACAGTCAATGAGCAACGTCAGAGAGTGATGACCCCGGGAGGCGGTATCAGCCGGTGCGAGTTTAAGCGAATCCCAACCCGTTTTCACTGGCGACTCAGACGCCCGGGGTGCTTGGCAGGTCTGCACCTTTTCCCGTAACCCCCCGCCGCCCGCCCGCGGGAGCACGGGAGCGCGCGAGAGCGCGTGGTCATTGGTCCGCGCGCCGACCTCGGCCCGCGAGCGCCGCCGCCTCCCTTCCCCGCCCCCGGCCCTCCTCCTGGGCGGTGCTTGTCGCCAGCCTCCGCGCCAGTCGCTGACAGCTCCGGCACTGCGAGCTTCTCCTCTCGGGAGAAGGCAGGTAAACAGCCCGGTGGCCTTTTCATTTCGCAGCGCAGGGCGCGGGCGGGGGTCCGGAGCCCTGGGGGGCGGCGGGGCGCCGCGAAGCCCGACAGCGCGAGCCGGGGGCCGACCTTGGCAGTGAGGAGGGGAGGGGGCTTCCCTGCGGGCGCGTGGCGCGTCCGGCCTGCCCCAGGGTGCGCGTTGGTTTTCGGGTGATGCCGCTTGGTTTTGCTTTTCGGGTGACGCCACTTGGTTTTGTTTTTCGGGTTGGGATTGGGGGCGGTTGGCCGGGCCCCTGGGGAGGGGTGGCGGTGTGCCGCGAGGTCTGATCCTCCCCCACGCGGGTCCGCGGCCCGAGGGGCCGAAGGTCCGGGGAAGTGGGGGCGATCGCCCGGGGCGAACGCGCCTGGCTTCGGGGAGACGAGCCGGGGGGTCGCGGGGCTCCCAGCCGCCCGCCAGTTGGCCGCCCTCCCAGCCGGCGGGCAGAGGCCGGGGACGCCCCGAGGGTGCGCGGAGTGGGGGTGGGGGAGCGGGCGCCCGCCCAGGGCCAACGCCTCGGCGGGAGAGGAGTCCGGGATGCCTGGGGGTCAGCTCCCCCGACGAACTCCTCCCGAGAGGCGGCCGCAGTGGTCTAGCCCTCCGCGGAGCTGCCCCCGAGCAGGCGGGCGTGGGCGGGGCCTCGGCCGGGTGGGGCCTCGGGGTGGCCGCGTTCTCCCTCTCGGGCCCGGGAGTGCCCGGCCTCCGGGGACAGATGTCCCCTGCTCCGATCATGATTATCTTCGTGGCTGCGTATTTTTCTTTCACATAGAGCATCACGGTTTAATAAGCAGTTCCCCACATGCCGAGCATTTGAGATGTTTACCTTTTCCTTGCGAAAAACTCCAGGTGGAACAGGATTAAAGATTTTTACAAATCAAATTACCAGAAAAAAATAGGAACAGAAAATTGAATAAAAAAGGTCAGATCTATGGAAAAATGAACAACTCTCTCAGACGTTATTAAGAAGGAAGAGGAAAATCACCGGTGAAAAGGAACAATTTCACCTACACAACCACCGAGGAGCTCTTAAAATGCAAAAGAACTAGCTGGAAAGGGAAAGAAAGCAGAGAGCTAGGATGTGATTTGTATCTTATTTGTATCTGACACGAATTTTTCATACTTGTAAAAGGCCAGTGTCAAGATTATAATAGGTACATGGTGAAATGATGAACCATTTGCAGAATAAAATGCAAATGAAAGCAAGTCTGTATTGTCGTTTCACATCTACTAAATGAACAAAAACGATCAAAGTAGTAGTAACAGCAACCCCTATAAGGCAGTTGTCGTGAAACTTGCATGTTCAGTTATCTGAGGATGTGGCGGGGTATTGGGGTTAGAAAGATGGCTCTGCTACTGATTCTGTGACATCCGGACAGGTCACCTAATTTCCTAATCCTGCTCATGTCCACTCATAAAGTAGAGGAAGTGAAACCTACTTTCGAGTTTGTTGCCAAGATTAACTCTAGGTAAAACTGACCCTTGGTGTGTATACCTTTATTCTTTTCCTGTTCACACCCCACTAGGGATATTGTGAATTACTACACACTTTTTGTAAAACAATCTGGCAATGCATTAAGAAGTTCAAAGTGGTGACCCAGAAAACCCTACCCCTGGGGATTTACCTGCAATGGAAGAAACAAGCAAACAAAAAAGCCATATGTGGGCACACATTGGTGCAGAATGATCTAAAATTAGAACCAACTGGGAAACAACCTGATTGTACAACAGCAGGGCAGTAGCTCAGAAAATCATGGCACAGTAACTGGTAGGAGCATTATGTAACGATCAAAAGTCATGATTTTGGAGCCTCTGATATATGGGGGAAACTGACAAAGTACAGTTTTCTAAACTGTTTCCTCAAGAGTGAGTGCATGTGTGGAAAATCTGAATTTTGGAAAAGCACCAAAAAATGGACATTTTAACAGAAGTGAGAGGTGATTTTCATGTTCTTTTTTGTTTACATTGCTTTTACTAAATAATGCAATTTTTTAAATAGGTCACATATCTCAATTTTTTAGATGATACGGACCCACAGTTTTCTCTGTGTCCTGTTTGCTGTTTTTTTTTATATGACCTCATTTTTTTTTCAAATATTGTCTCATTTTTTTCTTGAATAGATTTATTAGTGACTTAGTAATTTATATATTAGGTTTTTCTTTTAAGGAATCAGTTCTTAGATTTACTTATCAATTCTAGTTTTTTTCTTTTTTGTGATTGGTTTTAAGGATTCCTGAGTATATTCGAAAACTGAGCCATTTCCACCACGCCGAGGCATTTTGTCTTCTCAGAGACACAACTCCAGCTCAGCTGAACCACGACAGATGTATGTACCCTGTGGAATCTCTGGTCTTCTGATGGTTGAAAAGTCTCCAACTGTCACAGAAAATAAGGCTCTGGAAAGGCTGTGATCACAGGCCCCTGCTCGGGAGGCCACTTGGGTCCATATATGTAATTCCTACCATTGCATCATCCTTGCAAAATCAGCTTGATTTTGCAGAGAAAGGGTCACAGCTTTCTCTACAATCAGGCTGAATTACATAAGGAAGCAGCCATTTAAAAAATAATATAATAAAACAATAATCACATAATGTTTCTGTACCAAATTAACGCCAAAGGTGACTGTCCACCAGCTGATGGAAGGTTTTATGAGGTGAAAGGTTTTCGAAGCTGTAGTTTTATCTTACCTGTTCTCTTCTGCCTTTGGGATCTTATTTCTTCTCCCAAGGCAATTGTATCAGCTGTGAACGGCTTTGTATTAAGCATTCACATTGCACCGTCATCTAACCCAGGGATGGTGCTGCATTTAAAATAATCCTAGAGTGAACACCGTGCTTGGCAGCGCTTATAGTCGGGAGCATTTTTTTTTTTCCCTGCAATTTGTTAATCCTTTTTCTTCAGCTATGTTCTACTTATTACTGCTAAACTATCGTGTGATCACTTCAAGGGAAGTATGCTCTTCATGAGAAGCATTATAAATGTGGTTAAGTGTTGTGTTCCTGAGGACCTAGTTCTGAAGCCTGGTTAGGAGTGCAGTCCCCTGGGAAGCTTTTATGGATCTCCAGATCCCATTGCTGTTGGCCCAGGAGAGGCTCCAGCAACATTGCTTTTTAAAAAGTTCTTCAAGTCATTCTGATGATAGACCAGGTTGGGGGTCCTTGCCCTGTTCAATCCAGGCCTGGGCCTCAGGGTACCAGTGCAACCCCACATCCCAAAATGTTTTGCAAAATGTTGTATAGCTTGCATCAGATTCTTGAAGGGGCAGTATCCTCAAAAAGATTAAAATATGACAAGGTTCTACCTAATTCTGGAAAGACAGGGAATTTTCCTGGGGGCTCTGGGCGGTGGGAAAAGCTGGTGCCACTTCCCAATTTAACCAATTAAATTTCAAGTTATAACATGGTCTAAGTATTAGAAGTTCGGCCCTTGGCACGAGACCATTAAGCTAGTTCCTACCAGCTCTGTCGTATCCCCATGAATAAATGGGAATAGGATGAACAAGGTAATAATCTGTGGATCTTTCTGGTACCTTCTGTCAAGTTCCATTGCTCTGCCATTGTTCATGTGCCACGTGATCCTAATAATGCCTCGTGTAGCTTTCCAATGTATCCTGATAGCTGGCAGGCCAACCTGGCCCTAGGTTTTCTTCCTGTTCAATGATTTTTTTCTGACTTCTTAATTTTGGGTATCATTTCATCATGTTCTTTAAAATCCCCTTTGAATTCTGATTGAAAGTGTGTCGACTTGATGGATTATTTGAAGATAAATTGGCATCTCTCAATATTGGTTTTCCCAACCAAAAACATACTATGGCTGGGTGGTGGTGTTGTTGTTGTTTTCTTGTCTTCCTTTACGTCTCTCAGTAAAATTCTTTAGCTTTCCTCATAAAAGTCCTATTTATTTTTAGGTTAAATCCTAGATACTGTAAAAATTTTTTATTGCCATTATAGATGGAATGGCAATATGGAACATTATGGATGGAATGTTTCATCCATGCTAAATCTTCTCACTAATTACGATTAATTTGGGGACTTGCTGGTTTTTTACATATTGATTTCAAAAACTGCACCTAATGAGCTCACTTATTTATTCTACATTTTGGGCCTATTTTCCAAATAGAAGATTGTAGTTGGCTGGAACTTCCATAACAATCTAAAAATCACAGCCACTACTTGCATTTTTGACTTGTTCATTACACGAATGGGACGCCTTTCCTTTTTCCATTAAGATAGGATATAGGCCATGTGTTTGTGGTGGTAATTCTTGATGGAAGGGGACTGCCTGCTAGTTCTATAGAAACTTTAACAGCTTAAACCTAAGAAATCAAAGTGGAGGTTGATTTTAATTGAAAACTTTTCAGTATCTGCAGAGAATCTTATTCTGTCATCTTAACCTATTCATAGATTTCCTGATTTTGAGCCATCCTCGCATTCCTAAAATAATCCTTATTGGTCACAGTGTATTCTTCTTTCACTAAACTGTTAAAATCAGTTTGGCGGTATTTTCTTTTGGATTTTGGCATCCGTTCTGGTGGAGGCCGGGTGACTAAGGGCGCGAGCCCTGCACTTGAAATGCTGGGGTTTCAATCTCAGCCCTTGTCCCCTTGTCCCCTTGGCTATAGACACCGCTTCTCAGGGGAAGATGCCCTGACATTTATCTCTGCTGAGTTCCTGACTCTTAAAACAATTGCCTAAATTAATACTCCTACTTGAATGTCTCCTAGGTATAGCCAAGTTAACGCGTCCAAACCACAGCCCCCGGTTTTCTCTCCAAGCGGGGCCCTCTACCCATCTCCCTCACTTCAGGAGATGGCATCACCCCCCAAGCTAAATATCTTACTCACCATCTGTGTCCCCAGCCACTACTAGCACACAATGCTAGAACCTTAGAGGACACTTAAATATTTGTTGAATGAATCAATATGTTCCATAATACTACATAGTAATATGTAATTTAAGACGACTTTTTCCACCATTTCTTTTATAGTTCTTGGTCAGTTCAAGTTTTCTATGTATTTAAAAACTGGCACATATTAGTTGTTCCATAAATACTTGTTGACTGCATTAATTCTAAAGTCAATATTTATAATTTATATATTTTTTTTAAAGATTTTATTTATTTATTTGAGACAGAGAGAATGAGAGAGAGAGAGCACATGAGAGGGGGAAGGGTAAGAGGCAGAAGCAGACTCCCCGCTGAACAGGGAGCCCGATGCGGGACTCGATCCCGGGACTCCAGGATCATGACCTGAGCCGAAGGCAGTCGCTTAACCAACTGAGCCACCCAGGCGCCCTAATTTATATTTTAAAAGCAACCCATCCCACACGGATTTTTAATTCCTAAAACACATTTGCATTTGGAAGGAGGTTACCCTTTTAAAGCCTTCTCTTTCTAAGGTTATGTGGCCTTTCCCATTCCCCATGTGGAGCTATGTAGTGGGGTGTGTTTGTGTGCGAATTGCATTTTCAAGTCAGTTGATTTTATTTAGCAATTCCTCATTTTCCTGGGTTTTAAGTTCTACTTTCATCTCTTTTATTTCTTTATAACTACAATGCTTTATTTTGAAATTTTCTCTTTCTGTTTTCTTCCTTTTTTGAGTTGAATAATCATTTAATTTATTTTCATTCTTTCTGTTCAATTACACCACCCACACTCCTTTGATAGTCAGGTGGGTTCCTTTATTTCCACACCCTGCCTTCTTGGCATCATTCACCTCTCTTGTGGTTTTGGTTTGGTTATTTTTTTCTTTTTGACTAGACTGATAAGTGTAAGTGATATGTCATTTTTTTTTTTTGGCCCCATTTTATCTGATTCTTTTTTTTTTTTTTAAAGATTTTATTTATTTATTTGAGACAGAGAGAGCACATGAGAGGGGGGAGGGTCAGAGGCAGAAGCAGGCTCCCTGCCGAGCAGGGAGTCCGATGCGGGACTCGATCCCGGGACTCCAGGATCATGACCTGAGCCGAAGGCAGTCACCCAACCAACTGAGCCACCCAGGCGCCCCATTTTATCTGATTCTTAATGATTTTGAATATCTTTTCAAGCCCTTTTGGCTTTTCCTCTTCTATAAATTATCAGTTTTTGTATCTTTTGGCCGTTTTGTCTGTTTTTGTCTTATTACTATTTCTTACTGCTTTTAAGAATTCCTTGTAGGTTCTAGAAATGAATCCTCTGTTGGCCGTAAATACTACAAATATTTTTACCATTATGTACTCCTCTTAACTTTGTCCATAGTGTCCTTCACAGCATTAAACAAGAATCCTTAACTTTCATGTCATAAAATTCTTACTTGCCTCTTGGTTTGTGCTCTGTTTTAAAAGCCCTCCGGCCACTCCTCCTCCAGGTCACACAGGCGTTCACCTGTAGTTTGTTCTTCTAACAATGTGCTTTTCCCTTTCTAAGTTAGGTCTGTATTCCACCTAGAGTGCACTCTTGCACGTGGTGTAGGGGATCCAGTTTTATGTTTCTTCGGTTTCCCGGAAGCATCTGCTCAACAGCCTTCCTCTCCCCATTGATTTGTGGTGGCTGCCTTATTGTATATCAAGTCCCTACTAAAGTATATATACAAGGGCTTATCTCTGAATGTGCCCTTCTGCTCTCCTTGGCTGGTTGTTCTGTTCCTAGACTTCGACTGTGTGGTCTTTATTGCTCTGGCTTTGTAGTAGGATTTAAGGTCTGATCCAGTAGATTCCCTTCTCTTTTCTGTTCCTTTTTAAAGTTGAGTTTGCTATTCATGGACATTCCTTTCACCTTGTAAGTTTATTGAACTCCTCAAAAAGCCCAGGTGGACTTTGGATTGGCATTTTATTGAAATGACAGGTTCATTGGGGGGGGAGGTAATTAACAGACATCTTTCTAATACTAAGTCATCCCAGTCAAAGCCATGGAGTACCTTTCCGTTTTTACAGATAATCTTCAGTGGTCTTTACTGGAGTTATTTTTGTTCAAGTCTTATTTTTTTCTCAGTTAAGTCAAGTCCTAGATATTTTACAGTTTGGTTTGCTATTGTGATTATCTTCTTTCTATTTTTTTTTTTAAAGATTTTATTATTTATTTTACAGAGAGAGAGAACAAGCAGGGGGAGCAGCAGAGGGAGAGGGAGAAGCAGACTCCCCGCTGAGCAGGGAGCCCAATGCGGGGCTCCATCCCAGGAACCTGGGATCATGACCTGACCCAAAGGCAGACGCTTAACCGACTGAGCCACCCAGGATTATCTTCTTTCTTACGTTCTTTTTCTAAGTTGATTATTGCTGGTGTAGAGAAATGCTGTTGATTTTTTTAGGCCAGTCTCATATCCCACAGCCTTGCTGAACTCTAGTACTGGGT